ATTGTTCTCGAGCCGTCCTCCTCACTCTCTTGATTACTCCTTTTTTTCTCTGCCATCCGCGTCTGTAATTGGTGCATTACTTGCACGTGATCTTGCAAATGGCTGGTGGTGTTATTTATTATTATGCAAAAGGTTCAAAACGATTACGCATGCGCATATGGCTCCAGCCGGAATCTTGCCGTGACCAAAGACAAAATCGTAGCCAGAACATAAACTGAAGAGGAGGAGCGTGTCGGTGTGCGCTAAGTCCACCAAGATTGTTTCGCCATGCTCGTTCAATGCAACATCTGCGTTTTTCAGCAATGTTGCGTTGCCGTAAACAACAGAAAATGGTTTCGCTCTCTTCAACTTACCTCGTGCTTTCGCGCACCATGAAGTGCAACTATGAACCACTTCACGCGAATGCTTTCGTGCAGCTCCGTCAACGTATGTCGACGCGGATCTGCGAAGCGAGTTCACTTGTCGGTTTTTATTGAAACGCCAGGCGAGCGTCTAATGCATGTCTAGTGCATGCCAGTTGGTACAAATACATGTAGGTATGCACGTATACAGAACAGCTGTAGGTTGTAATCAACGCAACTTCAGAAACATTTCTTTCTTGACCAGTTCCCGCTTGAGCCGAAACGCGCTGCTTTGAGACACCTCACCAGTAGAACTCTCACTTTTCAGGAAGTTCCCAGCACCGCATCAGAATCACTTGGCATCACGATGGTCCAAATGGGCACATGTAAAAAAAAAACGTCATCGCAGTGCTGCTGGACGAGTGTTCGTACCAGTCTGGTCGTAGTTTTTTTTTTCTTGCGTGTGCACAAGCCGGTTGTAATCAATCGTCACAACGTCACGCCCTGTGGCCACTTACGGGATCCCGCAAGAAGCACGTTCAGTGTGTCACATCATGAACAAAACACAATCGGCGAAGTGGACTAGTTAGAACTGGACGAAATACCGCGGCCGTGGAACTAAAATGTACTACGCGAGACGCCATGGCTAGTGGTGTAAAGTACAGAAATGCCTAACGTTGCCGGTTGAGTAACGCACATCCCGCTTGCTCTTGTGTTGTGCCGTTTATGTTCATAAAGGTAACTGTTTATTCTACGTTTTATTTCGTTCCATTATGTTTCATTTACATCTACTCACCGTAGCAACAGAACCCAAACATTCGCTTTTGGATGAAAGTTTTAAACCTTCTAGGGGGCGCTTCAGGCAAATAAGCGAGGAGGAAAAGGGAGGGTATCGCTACCTTGGAAACTCGTTTCATCTAGAGACCTTATCCTGTATGCCAGAGCAGCGCCCCATGGCATCCTCACATGTCATTCCGAAACCGAAACCGAAAACCCAGAACGCAACAATATTTTTACGCCATGGAGCTCCACGTGTTCTGCTCAGTGACCGCAGCAAGGTCTTTCTTTCCCCTATTGTTGCTGAGGTTCTACGCGCCGCCAACACCATCCACAAAACAACTTTTACTTATCATCCTCAAACAAATGGCTTGACGGAACGCTTTCATCGTACCCTCTCGGACATGATTGCCATGTACGTTAACCCTGACCACACGAACTGGGACGCCATTTTGCCATTCGTAACGTTCGCCTACAATACAGCTACGCAACGCACCACCGGCTTTTCTCCCTATTTTCTGGTCCATGGCCGCTCTCCAAGTGTAACTCTGGACGTTTCCTTCCTTTCGGTTCCTGCTACCTCAGCAAGCCACACAATTTTTGTCTCGCCTCGAGCACTGCCGTCCTATGACCCGAATCAACACCGGCATCTCTCAGGAAGCTTGCAAGCCTCGCTACGACTCAACACACCGTGCTGTCACCTTTTCCCCAGGAGACGAAGTTCTTCTGTGGACTCCCGTGCGTGTGCCTGGCCTTTGTGAAAAATTCCTCAGTCGTTTTATAGGGCCCTACACGGTGACTGAACAAACGTCCCCTGTTAATTACCGTATCTCACCACTTACGCTCCCTCCGACCACCATTGCCGTGGGACAGAAATCGTGCACGTTTCTCGGCTGAAACTGTACACCCGACGCAATTCCTAATATAGTCTCTCGCGTGCCCAGGAGGCCACTTCCAGCGTGACGGGGAATTAGTGTGAGCGCAGTCACCGACTCTTCTTCATCAACTGGACGTGTCATCGTTATTTGTATAATTTCCTCATCTGTCGATATCACCATCAGTGTGTGCCAGCTCGAGCTCGCCTCGAATAAAACTCTTCCTCATAATACCTTTACGTGGCATTGCGATATGGACTTATCAGTGCCTGTCATTTTGTGTTTTGGAGCTTACAATTCTGGGTTCTCTAATGCGACATTATGCGCAGCCGTCCAGGACTATATTGATGGAACTAATAGGCTGGCTAATTAATATTTTTCATTGCCCTAACGTGTCTACAAAATCATATATAAGAATTGCTCTATTTTAAGGATAAATTCGTTTTTTATTTAAATAATTGTATGCATTAGATCAAGCACCACACTTTTCTAGGTTATCGGTAATCTTTTATTATATCTCCATTATTTTAAATTGGAACCATAACTTTTAAAACGACTCGATTCATGGCCAATCTCCATAGTGGGTATACGCCACTGCCAATAGGGGAACAAGAACAAGGCTTCGAAAGGCCGCTGTTCCAGCTTTTGCTGTGACTGTGCTGTGCCTTACACGCAGGCCTGGTATTTTTTTATGCGTCATTGTTAGCATGTGCTGTTTTGTAAGTGTGTGGGCATACCGCAGTGCCGATAGATACGGGGGGGAAGAGAGCGTTGTCAAGACGAGACTGAGCAGTTTTGCCCTGCCACGGTGGTCTAGTGGCTGATGTACTCGGCTACTTACCCGCAGGTCACGGGATCAAATCTCGGCTATGTCGGCTGCATTTACGATAAAGGCGGAAATGTTGTAGGCCCGTGTACTCAGATTTGGGTGCACGTTAAAAACCCCCAGGTGGTCCAAGTTTTCAGAGCCCTCCACAACGGCGTCTGTCTTAATCAATTGCTGGTATTGGGACAATAAACCTCACAAATCCATCGACTGAGCAGTTTTTTCACTCGTCTCTTTTTTTAGTATTGCGTTTGTGCATGCATGTCTGGAATGATGACTCATTCACACATTCAGGCTCATATTCACAATCAATCTTGGTTTACGGAGAATAATGTGAATCATCGTGCGGTCAACTTACACGATGGTGCGCGTTACTCTTGCACAGATATTTTGTAGCGCAATCATACGTTTCTGTGTACACCACACTGCACAAAGTATAAGCTATGTTTTCTATATGGTGCACACAGGTGCTCATTTAGCCAACAAAAGTAATTATTGGGTAATCAGGAATCATGTCTAAAAGCAACAGATATTTGTAATCAGTAAGCCAGAAGTATTTTGTCATTGTACATAGTGCAACGAGTTGTCGCAACGCTGATAAAGCGCGACTGTGACCTACATGATTATTCTGTGTCTAATTCAAACATTCATTTGTCAGCTTTACTTCCGGCTTTGCATTTTCTTTGTACATTAACCGGAATTTTCACATGCGAATAAGCGCACGTTGCTGAGTGAACCACGTTTCTTTGTCTGAAATGCTGCATAAAAATTTCCGCAGCACAACGTGATCTGCTACGTTCATATATTGACAAGTAGGTAAAACATTTTCCCCTTTCCTGTGTGAGCTTTCACTTCGTTCTACTTACGCCTTACATAGTTATGCTCCAGAAGCACGCAAAAAACTATTCCAGGTCCAATATAGAAAGATATGTGTGGTTTATTGTCCCACAACTACCATATGATAATGAGAACGCTATTGTGGAGTGCTCCGGAAATTTCGACCACCTGGGTTTTTCTAACTTGCACCCAAATCTGAGCACACGGGCCTACAACATTTCCGCCTCCATCGGAAATGCAGCCGCCGCAGCCGGGATTCGAACCCGCGACCTGCGGGTCAGCAGACGAGTGCCTTAGCCACTAGACCACCACGGCAGGGCGAGGTCCAAGATATTTAATTCCGACAGATGAATAATTGTGATTAATGGGAATGACAAGTGAGACGTTCATCAATCCCGCTGTCTCCGGTCCCAGGATGGACGCTGGAGCATTCCTTCCAGATTACTCCAATAGAATTTGCGGCTCTCAGACACATTACGTTGCGTGGGTGACAAATATAACTACAGTATAGCCGACGTGCATGTGTGGGTCAGTGAAGTTATGGCACGAAAATTCATTTTTTGCAGCGTTATTTTGCTCCACAGAGGGCCTCTTTCATAAATCTTCAAATCAAACACGCTTGCACTGGTATTGAAGACACCAATATTTGCTAATGCTGGTGAATGAATCTTTATACAAGCCACCTTTTTGGGAGAGCGTTTTGCGCCACAGTGTTTGTGTACCTGACAGTGGTGGCAGCAGGATGTTGAGATACGGGCCGCACGGTACGCGAGAACGCATATCTTGGTGTTTGCAAAGCGGGGCCATTTCATGAGAACGACTGAAGTGGCCCTAAACTTGAGATAATCTGTCCCCCCTTTACCTTTCTTTTTGCTCTTCGACGCCACGTATTTGGTAGGTTATCAAGCCTTACCCCCGTATTCACAAACGCTCCTTGACTCGACACTTCACTCGAAACGCTCCTTGAGTGGCGTTTTCCAATTCACAAACCACCCTTCACTTGAAACGCATTCTTCACCTGAGAAAATCTCAAGAGTTTCCTCGAGATTGTCAAGGAAGCGATCGAACTACCTTGAATCGTCCCTCGAGTGAAGTCTCTGAGCAAACATCGCGTCCATGGCGGAGCCCGTCTCGCTTTGAAACTGTTTATTGCTCAATTTGGCTGCCACCACTGCGTTATTTCAACAGTGACGGTGACGTTCACTACGAAGCTGTCTGTAGCGGTTCGACAACGGACAGGCGGGCGTGGTGTCAAGCGGAGCGCTCACCAGTGCCGTGATGTGTTGTGTTTCGTGCATGAGCTAGCGGATTACCTGCCTTCGGGCGTGCGTATACTAATCGTGCGAGTGCTCCAAGACTTACTGCGGATGCCAGTGCTTTCAAGTGTTTTGATGAAGCTTGCACACCACACCATTTCAACCGTGGTGCGAAAGCTTGGCAAACAAGCGGAGAGGAAACGTAATAGCAAACTTTCGGTGCGCTGCATTCATCATACTCCTCAGCGGCTTCCTCTTCGGTGAATCTTTGCTATCCTAGCCGAAATATACGGCAAAGTATACTTTCGTTACATGATCGTCTGTATCTACGAGAAGGTAAGTTCTTCTTTTTTTGTTTTTTGTTCATTTTCCCCCGTGCTCAGGTCATATCACTATTAGAGACAGTTTAGAAAGAATTAAACACATTGCAATAGGGCCCAATAAGTGTGCTTTTATTGGTGCTACGCGTGAAACATAGCTTCAATATACAGTGTCTATGCAGCTCACAATACCAATGAAGAACCACACCCAGTTTTAGGGAATCAAGCAGAGGCTCGTGCTCTGTGAAACGTGCGCGCGCGCAAGAATGCATGGAGTGTCGTATAAAAACGGAAACATACGAAATAGAAATACAGCAGATACATTATAAGATTGTTTTTTGTAATTGAACCCTCTCCCCCCCACCCCAGAAAAGGTATTGCTGGCTACGCCATTGATTCAAGCAATTAGGTTATCGAATTACTTAACTATATGCCTGATGAGCTGCCAAGGGCCTGAGCGAAACATGTGTTAAAATAGGCAAAGCCCAATAACTCAAACATGTCGGTTCTTAAACGCAAGAAATTTAATGCATCAGTGCATCCCGAAAAATTAAAAAAATGTGGCTTTGGTGTTCTAGCTATTACGTTTTTCTAATATTATGTCTTGCCTCTTTTGTGCAGGGGCCAGGCTGCCGACAGAAGAACATAGCGGAAAGGTTTCCTAAAACGTGCCGTATTCACAATGCATTGCAGAGTTTGCACCACTGTATACAAAAGGACAAAATCTGCAGCGAATGCGTGCAGCTGCAATGCATAAGACACGCTATGGCGTCTACTACCTCGATCTTACTTATGATGTCTTACAATCTAGAAATTTATTTCGACAGTGTGTCAGTTGCATATGCTTGATTAATGCACACTTTGCAGTTGCACGCTTGTGTTTTCCACATGGCTCTTGATCAGTCAAATGTAATAAAGGCTTATTTTGCCATTCGTAATTTCTACTTTGTTTATTTTTCAATACATATTTATCGTCATGGTCGTGTTTTCAGCATGAGACAGAATCACAAAACCCTGATCTCCAATTCTTCAGGAGAGCAGTTCTACAAAAATCAAGCTTGTTTTATATACACCAGCACCATTTTCCTTCCATAAAACTGAGATGGCGTGGTTCCAGCATGTAGACATGCTAATGTTGCAACAGTAGCGGATATTTTATTTACAGGGGTTTGACTAAATATATCCGCGATGTCTCCAATACTCCTGAGAATTTATTTTACCACCCTGTAGCACTGGTCTTCGTTAAATCAGCAAAGTAAAATACTCTGCTTCTTGACGACACTTTCTCCAAGGTTCAGTGAACCACCACGGTCATTTTTAAGACAGAACAGCACCAAAAGTCAAAAGCGCCTTCAATTTTATCATTTCCAAAAGAATAAAACATCTCCTATAAATTATGTACTGCCGAGGCTTTAGAATGAAGCACAGAAAACACGATCATTTTCCAGAGCTATTCCCGGCAATAATATTCTACAAATAAAAGCCAGAACATAAATGCAAAGATTGATTTTGAATTAGCGAATGTGCTTCTGAGCTTGCAGGTAAAGAAGACAGGATAAAAGTTTTAGGACGGGGCCGCTGTGTGAACTTGGAGACGGAAGCTACAGAGATTTAAAGGTTACATCTCTTCGAATCTGTCATATTCGAGCATCCACAAATGCAGGGCGAAAAGAACATAAAAAAATAACTGCTTACTCAGGCATCCTTGGAAGTTTGAAATGTTAAAATTGAAACACAAAAAAAACACGCATTGTGAACCAACTATATATGCTACTAATAGAAGAATTGCCTATATATGTACATTAGGAGAACGCCTTTTCTAGTTATTCTTTTTTCTAAATTGACATTGCAGCAAAATACGTGCATTTAGAATGGTAGTGTTGTTTCCCTAAGCCTTGTGCTGATAGAGCTAGCGAAACCCTCCTTCAAGTCTGGCAACAGTCGATCCCAGGCAGCTGAACGAACAGCTGATGGCGTTTCGTCTGCTGCTGAACGTGTATACCTGCTTAGTTTATTTTGTCTTGTATGCGTCTATTATTTGTAGTTTATACTTACGGTAGTGTTTGCGTATGTGTCGTTTGAGAGCCTACTTTCGCCGGGGTGACTAACGAACTACGTGAGTGATAACAGGAAGCGCAATAGATGGTTTGTTGGTTTGTTTACTTTCGCTTTACTGAGAACCTTTTGATCACTAATGTATCCACCGAATGTATAACGCGGTGGAATGAGAATTTTTTACTATATATCACAGTATGTTGGCGTGCTTCTAGCATTCACCACCGAGTTATGTATAAGGATTACTCGTACGTAAGTTCGTTCTCGCTACGGGAGTACGTGCACAGTTTCTAATTTCAGGGGCCTGTGCAATATTTATTTTTCTCAGCTACTGCGAATTACACCGTGGCGCTTTCGTAGTTGTTCCTCTACGTATAATAGGAAATTTGAAAGACATTGCTCGCAACTGATATTCAAGATTATACCAGGGTAGCGTTAAAAACTAGGCATGGTATACTCGTGGCTGAGCGTCCGAATTAGACTGCTACGCAAGTTAAGAAAAGCGATCGTGTGCCTTTGTTTCAGTATTGGCGAAAAATACATTTTAAAGTTGTTTTTTTTATTTAGTAATATATATAGTCGAATAACAGGTACTGGTGTGTGTGTGTGTGTCAACTTCCACATTTTAAACTTCCAAGGAATAAGTTATTGTTTTTGCATTGTTTTTCTATTTGCCCTGCATTTGTGGATGCGTCTAATTTGACAGATTCGCATAGAAGTAACCTTTCAATTTATGTAGCTTCCGTCTCGAAGTTCACACAGCGGCAACGTCTTAAATTTTTTCCGTCTCCTTCCTCTGCATGCTCAGAAGCACAATTGTTAGTGCATGAATGACCTTCGCACTAATGTTTTGGATTTTGTTTGCAATATAACTACTGGAAATACCTGTTGAAAAGGATCGTGGTGTCTCTGCTGCATTCCAAAGCCTCGGCACAACATAAATTATAGGGGATGTTTTATTTTTTTTGGAAATCATAAAATTGAAGCCACGTCTGACTTTTGGCGCTGTTTTGTTTTAAAAACTATCCTGTGGGTTCTCTCAACCTTCAAGAAAGTGTCGTCAAGAGCAGCGTATATTATTCTGCTGATTTATTGAAGACCAGTGCAACAAAGCGGTGAAAAATGCTCAAGAGTATTGCAGTCATCGCGGATATATCTGGTCAGAACCCTGTAAATAAAATATCCGCTATTGCTGCATCATTAGCAAGTCTACCAGTTAGAACCACGCCATCTCAGTTCCGTGGAAGAGGAGTGGTGCTGAATTATATAAAACAAGTTTAATTTTCCTAGAACAGCTTTCCTCTAAAATCGGAGAAGTGGTTTTTGCAGTCCTGTGTCATCCTATGAAGACAAACACGACGATAATTATGTATTATTAAATGAACAAAACAGAAGTTGTGAGTGGCAAATGGACCATTATTACATGTGGCTGGTGAGGAGCGACGTGGCAAACATAAGAATGCAAATGAAAAGTGTTCATCAATCAAACATATGCAACCTACACACTGTAAAGATAAAGTACGAGCTCGGAGGACATCATAAATAAGATTAAGGAATTAGACCCCATAGCGCGCCTAATGCAGTGTAGCTGCACGCATTCACTGCTGTTTTTGTGCTTTTGTATACATTCGTGCAAACTGTGCAATGCATTGATAATATGGCAGATTCTAGGAGGCCTTTTCTCTGTGTTCTTAAGTCGGCAGCTGGTCCCCTGCTCAAATGAGGCAAGAAATAATATTAGAAAAACGTAATAGCTTGGATTCAAAAGCCGCATTTTTCTTTAATTCTAGCTGTGCACACATTCATCAGTATGTCTCGCGTTCAAGAACAGACATGGTTGAAGTATTGAGCTTTGACTATTTTGACACATGTTTGGCTCAGGCACTTGGGCAGCTTACCAGGCATATGGGTATATAATTTCACTATCTAATTGCACAAATCAGTGCCATAGCCAGCAATTCTTCTTCGGAGAGTAGGAATGAGGTTAAATTTAAAAAAACAATCTCATTATGTATCTGCTGTATTTATATTTCATATGTTTGCGTTTTCATACGACACTCGACGCACTTTTGCGTACATGCAGGTTTCACAGAGCATGATCATCTGCTTGATCCCCTAAATGTGTACTTGGTTGTTCATTGGTATTGTGAGCTGCATAGACACTGTATAAAGAAGCTATGTTTCATGCGTAGTAGCTACAGCAGCACACTCATTGCGCCCAATGTATTCTGTTGTGCTTTTCTTAAACTGTCTTTATTAGTAATCTGACCTAAGCAGGAAAAAAAATAAAAAAACACAGGAGAACTTACCTTCTCATTGGTGCAGATGGTTGTCTAACGCAGGTGTGCTTGAACTGATGTGGTGTGTGAGCTTCATCAAAACACTTCAAAGCATTGGAATCCACAGTAAGTCATGGAGCACTCGCACGAAGAGTATACGCACACCCGAAGGCAGGTAATCCACTGGCTCATGCACGAAACGCAACACATCACGGCACTGGTGAGTGCTCCTTTTGACACCACGCCCGCTTGTCCAGGCGCCAGAGTAGCCGTTGCTGAACCGTTCGAAGACAGCTCCGTAGTAAACGCGCACCGTCATTGTCGAAACAACGCGGGGTGGCAGCCTACTTGATCGAGAAACGCCGTGAAAGGGGGACGGGCTCCGCCATAGACGCGATGCTGGCGCAAATTTTTCACTCGAGGGACGATTCAAGGTAGTTCGATCGCTTCCTTGACGATATCGAGGAAACGCTCAAGATTTTTTTAAGTGAAAGAAGCGTTTCAAGTGAAGGGCGGTTTGTGAATGAGAAAACGCCGCTTAAAGAGCGTTTCTAGTGAAAGGTCGAGTGGAGGAGCGTTCGTGAATACGGGCATTAGTTTCTCTGTAAAACACAAAGCTGTTTCTTCTACTCAAACATGAATGTGTAAATGTAAACATGTGATTTGGTCAATTTACAACTTCTTATTCAAGAACAGCGTCGCCTTGATCTCGTTCTTGCATTCGTTAGCCACCCATCTTCTGTAAAATAAGAGAAAACAACATCCCTATTTTTCCGCAAAAATTTCCCTGATCATACGCCCCCTCAGTCACCAGAAAAGGGGGAGCAAAACCTCCTTCATTCTTTGCGTTGGGTTGGTGACTTGCAGGACGCACAGTAGCTTTTTTGGGGGACAAGCGAGCCCTTCAGAGTGCAGGAGAGCTAGTAACGAGGGAAACAACCAGGGAGACTCTTTGACAGGTGGTATGGACAGATACGATTCCAGAGTGGCACCAGTATCTAATATAGGTAGAGTCTGGGGCAGAAATAGACGTATCCACGATCGCCGAGCCAATACAGACAAAGCGTATATTAAGATGCATGGTGGTAGGAACAGGCTGAAGTGGGAAGAGATAGAAGAACAGCTAAGAGAGGAGAGGCCGATGGTATACGGTTTTGTAGAAACACATCTCAGGGACGTGGAACAAACTCCTAACAATGCGGACTACGCGTGGGAATATTGTGATAGAACAGAAGGCAGCAGAAAATGGGGGTGGTATTGGGGCATTCATTCACAAAAGTACAGACTGGCAAAGGGTCAAGCAGGAGTGCAAGGATTATTTGTGGCTAAAAAGGAAAGTGGCAGGGCAAATGACACTCCTTGGTTTCGTGTACTTGTGGACGGGAGCCAAAGCCAGAGAGGAAAACCAGGCAATGGTAGAGTGTATAGCAAAGGACATTCAGGAGTTAGGAGGAGAGTGCGAGATAATTATACTAGGAGATATGAATGCACACATAGAAGATATAGATGGGTATACCGACCCGACCGGCAAAATGATCATGGATATGTATGAAAGGCTTGATTTGATCATTTGCAACAGTACCGAGAAGGGTGAAGGGCAAAAAACATGGGAGGTGGGAAGGCTGCAGTCGACGATAGATTACGCACTGATGTCACATAGTATGTATGATAAGCTCAGGGGAAAGCACATTGATGACGGTGGCTCCAGATGTCTGTGTAGTGATCACAAACGTATCAAGCTAAGTTTTGGAAGAGCAGTGAAAGTGGGAAGGAGACAAGATGAGCAACTACAGGAAAATATTTATTGAGAAAGGCAAATTGAAATAGCCACTAAACAAATTGAGAGAGTAATCACTGAGAATAATAAAACAGTGTGGACATGCACGAGTCTAATTAGACTGTTTGAGCTAGAGCTTGCTAAGGCACGTGACAAGTCACCCCGGAAAAGAAGACACAAACCCAAAAGCTGGTGCGATAAGGAAGTTAAGAGAGCCATAGCACAACGTCCGAAGCCTCTAGGGAACACAGACATGCTAAGCAGCGGGGTGGACCGACAGATGATGTTGAAAGAAAATAGAAAATCTTTCTAAGCTGTAGAAAGGATGCATCCCTTCTGATCAATGAAAATATTAGAAGAAAGAGATCTCAGTGGCTGGCAGAAGTACATAAAAAAGATAGAAAGGCAGCTGCGAAATTTTTGGAACCATATAAACTCCCTAAGAAATGAGACGAGGCAAGAGCAGAGGTTTATAACTACAGCTCAAGGTGCTAGGCTAGAAGGGGACGAAGGTATTGTATATATATAAGAACAAAGGTGACAGAAAAATTTCAACAGAGAAGTGCTTTAAGCACCACAATAGACAAGGATGAATCAAGTGGCGCAATGGCTCCATTTTCACAACAAGAGTGGGAAAGGGCTGAAAAAGGGTTCCTAGTAGTACATCAACGGGTCCAGATTGCATTCCAATTATGCTGATAAACACATTAGGTCCGAAGTCTAAGCAGGCTTTGAGAGAGGCAGTGAGTAAAATAATTATCGATGGAGAAGTTCCCGATGGATGGAAACTTCGCAGGAAAGGAGGAAAAAGCTGACATAGACAACTACCGTCCTATAACAGTGACATCAGTGGTCTACACGGTAGCCAGCCGGTCTGAGAACTGGCTAACCTCCCTGTCTTTCCTCATTTATTCCTCCTCCGCAGTGGTCTACAGGCTGGCGATACAGATTATAAAGGAAAGGCTGTAGGCATAGATAGAGGATGAGGGGGTGCTGGGGTAACGACAGAATGGGTTTCGGAAACACAGGAGGTTGGAAGACAATCTGTTCTCACTGACTCAGTGCATCTAAATAGCAGAAAAAAAACACAGGCTCCTGTGGCTAGCATTTTCGAATATCAAGGGAGCGTATGATAGCGTGGTTCAAGAGGAATTGTGGGGAATACTGGACAAACTAGACGTGGAAGATGTAGTAACTAATTTTTAAAGGATATCTATAAAGGTAACAAGGTAATTATGAAATGGAAAAAACAGGTATTTAAGCCTGCAGAGGTGAAACGGGGGCTTAGGCAGGGGTGTCTCCTGTCACCCTTATTATTCATGATGTACCTACAAGAATTAGAGGCCAAATTAGAGGGAAGCGGACAGGGCTTCAACCTCTAATTCGTCAAACAAAGGAAACTCATTCAACAGGCACTACCATCATTGATGCACGCAGATGATATAATGCTGATGTCCGACAACAAGGAAAACTTGCAGAAATTGGTGGACATCTGCGATAATGAGGGAGATAAGTTAGATTTATATTCAGTAAGGAAAAATCAGCAGTCATGATTTTTAATGACAATGAAGGTAGTGAGCTTAGAATACAGAAGGTCACGCGATAACAGATAAATACAAATATCTTGGCGTATGGATAAGCAATAAGGCCGAGTACCTAAGGGAACACGAAATATACGGGTCGACTAAAGGTAACACGAATGCAGTGGTAATAAAAAACAGGGCACTGTGAAATTACAATAGGTATGATGTTGTGAGAGGAATATGGAAAGGGGTCATGATTCCTGGTCTGATGTTCGGCAATGTGGTCTTGTGCATGAGATCAGATGTTCAACGAAAATTAGAAATTAAGCAACGTGGAATAGGTAGGCTTGATTTAGGAGCTCATGGAATACACCAAATCAGAGAGTACAAGGAGATATGGGATGGATATCATTTGAGGGCAGGGAAGCTAGCAGTAAGATAAAGTTTGACAAGCGATTGAGAGAAATCGCGGAGGAACGTTGGGTTAGGAAGGTATTGAGCTACTTGTACATGAAGAATGTCGATACAAAATGGCGGAAGCAAATCAGAAAATTGACTGGTAAATACTTGGAAAACAGCAGGGGTCCAAACCAAAAATAATTATCGATTAAGAAGAGGGTGAAGGAAGCTGAGACCGATATGTGGAGAATCGGCATGATTAAGAAGTCTGCACTAGATATCTATCGAAGGTTTAAGCAGGAAATTGCCAAGGAAAGGATCTATGATAATACTCGGGGTAGTTCTCTAATGTTTGAGGCCAGGACGGGAGTATTGCGAACCAAGACATGTCCGGCCAAATACGGAGGGGTAGACACAGTATGCAGTGCGTGTGGAGAGGAAGACGAAACTGCCGAACACTTGATAATAATACTTGAACACGGTACCAGTGTGTGTCTATAAATAGGCAAACATCTATGCCCAAAAAAATCAAACGCGGTGTACCACAGGGAAGCATATTAGGACCTCTTCTATTTAACCTTTATATCAATGATATTGTAAATGTGGATCACTCAATAACGTACATTATTTATGTAGATGATACAAGCTTATTCTTTATGGGAACAAATATAGACGATTTGATAAAAGCAGCTAATAAAACGTTAGTCAATTTTTCGAAATGGTCCTGCCAAAATTCGTTACAGATCAACAGCTCTAAAACCAAGGCCGTTCTTTTCCGTGCGAAAGGAATAACATGTACGTACACACAAAAACTGATGCTAAATAATTTCAATATCGAACTTTCAGAGACTGTCAAAACTTTGGGCGTCATCTTTCATCAACATATGTTCTGGAATTCTCACACTGAACAATTGTGTATTAAGCTAAGAAAAGCCCTTGGCGTGCTGAGAAGGTGTCAGTCGTTTCTACCGCTCCCCCAGAAACTTCTTATCTTTAATACGCTTTTTTTCTTCTCATCTACGCTATTGTCAGTTGGTACGGGCTTCTGGAACTGAAACATCAAAACAAAAGTTGTATACACTTCAAAAAAGCGCTTTGCGGGCTGTTGCAAATATAGGTTACAGAGAACACACATCCCATTTATTTGTCAAGTTTAAAGTTTTAAAATTTTGTGTTGCATATGAACATAACTTGTTGTTGTCTTTGAGGTCTGAAATTCGAAAGAATTGCGCAAACCTGAGAGGCTTAGCACATTTACAGCCGAAAATTTTGTTGCGTCCGATGCGGAGTTCTGAACACTGGCACATCCCCCGACCGCGAACAAATTACGGACTCCAAATGCTAAAGCACTCTGTTCCCCATATACTAAATAGGTTCAAGCTCACAGAACAGCAATTGCGTCTCCTTTCAAGTAGTGATATATTAAACCTGTTTGTATAAGGAACTATAAGCCCAGAAAAATTACACCCAGTACTTGTGAATGCATGAAATTTTAAGTGTACCCCTTTCTGTTACAGCGTCTTATATTGGTTGCCTTTTTTCCCAAAAATTGTTTGTTTGTAAACACCCAAGTGTGCATCTATTCTGTACTTCATAAACAACCACTAGAATGTTATGTTCTTTTGTTTCTTTTTTCAATCATACGTGAGCACCGTATGGAGCTTGGTGTGCCATTGTTTCTGTTGCCTTGTACAAATGGGAGGTGAGGCTAGTCAAGCTGCTATAGCGCAGCTTTTTTCCTACTTTCCATGCCACAATTGTTTCTTGTTTGTGTAAATCACGGTGTATTGTTGTGGTGAAATAAATTTCAACTTTCAACTTTCAACTTTCTTTCTGTAAAGGGCTTCAGCCTATAGTTCAGGATGATGGCGCAGAGTTCTTCAAAGCACGGGGTTTAGGGACAGGGAGGGCAAAATAGACTTTAGGCGGGTAGAATTAACTAGAAGGTGGTTATTTGATTGGTGGCTAAAGTCAAGGCACGAGTGAAAATTAAACCCTTCACTGCAAAGTACGAATACTCAGCCTCACTATTTAGGGGAAAAAAATAAATCCACTTTTTGGTTCATTAACTATTACGGCTTGGTGGCGCTAGCCACCGTTCCGATCTAAAGGGTACAGCCATATACATCCATCGATCCATCCGGCCATCTGTTGTATTTGTTTCGTTTGCAACGCCAGCAAAACCAGCTGCGCGCGCACCATTTCGTTTGGGCCCTGTGCGCCTTCATTCTCCTTTTCCCTCTCCCTTCACCCTCTCCTAATGCCAATGTATATAACCACGCTGCGGACAATAAACGCTGTTCGTTGACTGCCCGACCATTGTCCTTGCTGCTTAGCTGCGCGCGCCTGAGTTACGACAGTGGCGACGAGGATGGGATCCACCCATGCTGCCGTGAAAGTTGGAGCCGACGGCCTGCCGCAACAAGCACCGGCGACAATGACCAGCCTCCAGCTCCCAGTGTTCGACGACACAAGAGATAAGTGGAAACCATACCTTGTTCGGGCTGAAGCGTATTTTGAAGCAAATGCCATTACTGACTCCAAAAGGCAGAGAGCACTTCTGGTGGCAGCACTCAGCACGCAGACTGTGCAAGTGCTAGCGGGGCTAATTGCACCTCGGACGCCGAATTCCCTTACTTACGCCGAAGCGGTCGCAGCATTAAATTACTACTACGATCCCAAGCGTCACGAGATTGCAGAAAGCTACAAGTTTTTCACCCGTTGCCAACAAGAAGGGGAGTCGGTGCACGCATTCCTAGTCGAAATACGGCGCATAGCAGACAATTGCAACTTCGGAAGTGCGCTGAACCGGATGTTGAGGGACAGGATTGTTTGTGGCGTACGCTCAACTGACTTGCGCAAGCAGTTACTGGCACATAAAGATTTAACCCTCGAGAAGGCTGAATCAATGTCCATTGCAGCAGAGGCAACCGACAGCGATGTAAAAGATATGAGTGCAGAGCCGCCGACTGTGCTAAAAATGCGAGAAAAAAATGGACGTTGATTTCGGGAAGAAAAAACGGTTTGTAACCACCCATACGCCGCACGTTTCGATGGGGCAACGTAGACCTAGCCATGGAAGTGGATACGGGTTCCCCGGTGTGCGTCGTATCGCGCCAAGTGTACGATTGACACCACGCACAGTGGCCGCGCTTACAATCAAGCTGTCATGTCACGCGGGACAGCTTCCGGTGTTGGGGGAACTCGAACTCCCAGTGAAGTATAAAAGTGTATCTGTGCCTTGCCCGCTCATCGTGCTTGATTGTGCAGGACCCAGCCTATGTGGCCGCGACCTCATTGCTTTGCTTAGCAAGACGAGCGTTCCCATTGGAGACCTGACTGAGCCGGACCCTACAGCAAGCGCCGAGCCAAGCGATCCTATGCTGAACCGACTGCTCAGCGAGTTCGAGGATGTTTTCTCAACAGACCTTGGACTAATCAAGGGTCCACCAGCCAGCCTAAAACTCAAGGAGACAGCGACACCAAAATTCTGTAAGCCCAGATCTCTTCCTTACGCCCTCCGCGATAAGGTCTCTCGTGAAATTGATCGGCTGGTGTCACTTGGTGTTCTATCGCCCGTGCAACATGCAGAATGGGCTACACCCATTGTGGTCGTTTTGAAGAAGGACGGGAGCGTAAGGATATGCGGTGACTTTAAGGCTACCCTTAACCATGCATGTGAGGTGGAGCATTACCCTCTTTCGGTGATAGAGGACATGTTCGCAAGCTTAAACGGAGGTGAATATTTCAGCACCTTGGATTTAAAAGATGCATACAATCAAGGGCCCCTTGACGAAGCGTCCAGCGGGCTGTGCGTCGTTAACACGCACCGAGGGCTTTTCCGGTATAACAGACTTCCGTTTGGAATAGCTTCCGCACCAGCCATTTTTCAAAGAAAAATGGATGCAGTACTCGGCGGGCTGTTGGGTGTTCAAGCCTACCTTGACGACGTGCTAGTGTCAGAAGGCAAGAGTTATAACACAGAGCAGCTTAAGAGAGTGTTGGAGCAGTTCCGAGAGTACGGCGTTAAACTTAGGATTGACAAATGCAAGCTTCGGCAACCTTCTGTGACTTACCTTGGCCATCGTATAGATCGGCAAGGCCTCCACCCCATTGAAAAGAACGTAGACGCCATCATGCAAGCCCCGCGCCCGCGTAACGTTAGCGAATTGCGCTCGTTCCTTGGCATGCTCACGTTCTACGCACGTTTCCTGCCCAACATGTCGACTGTGCTCAGCCCCTTGTATCAGCTCATGGAAAAACGAGCCCGTTGGGAATGGCGGAAACCGCAGCAGTCAGCGTTCGAGAAAGCGAAAGAAATGTTGAAGAATGCGCAGCTTGTCGTTCATTTTGATCCCAACAGGGAACTGATGCTAGAATGTGATGCTTCCCCGTATGGCGTGGGTGCTGTTTTGTTTCACTCGGCGGGAAATGAGCACAGACCAATCGGTTTTCGCTCCAGAACGTTAACAAAAGCGGAGCGAAATTACTCTCAGCTGGAGCGAGAAGCCTTGGCACTGATTTTTGGCGTTTCTCGTTTTCGTGAATACCGCCTAGGTCGGCAATTTACCCTGGTAACCGACCATCAGCCACTGCTGGGACTGCTCAAGACTGACCGCCAAACGCCGCCGATGACCGCCGCGCGCATTCAACGGTAGGCACTGTTCCTAGGAGGCTACCAGTACAAGCTACAGTACGTTCCGGGGAAACAACTACTGACAGCAGATGCCCTCAGCAGACTACCAGCCCCGGCGGCAGCGGAACCAGTAGCCGAAGGGGAGCCTCCCGAGTACGTCCTGTCGTTGGAGGCCCTGGACGAAGGTACAGTGACGACGCACGAGTTGCAGGAGCTCACTGCCAAGGACTCGTTGTTAGCCCGTGTGGCGGAATACATCTTCCATGACTGGCCTCGGACAACAAGTGGAATGGCGTCCGACTTGCTGCCTTTTTTTGATCGCAAAATGAAGCTGTCGATGGCTCACCGGCTAATCTATTGGGGCAACAGAGTCGTCATACCACGGAAGGCGCAGGAAAGGATGTTGCAGCTGCTACATGAAACACACCAAGGCTCCTCGTCAATGAAAGCGGTGGCACGGTCACTGTTTTGGTGGCCGGGGATGGACAGGGACATTTGGGTATTGTCGGCGCAGTGTGTAAGCTGTGTAGAAAACCTGCCCATGCCTGCGGCAGCACCACCGGTGAGTTGGCCGCAAACGGCCGAGAGGTGGTCCCAAATCCACAACACAGCGGGTACTATTCGCTGCTTACGAAGTCTGTTTTGTCGGTTCGGAGTGCCACGCACAATCGTGTTCGATAATGGCACGCAATTTACGAGCCAGGAGTTCGCCACGTTTATAGCAAGTAACAATATTGTGCACTTGCGTACCGCGTCTTTCCATCCTCAGTCGAATGGAGCAGCGGAAAGAGCAGTGCGAACCCTTAAGGATGGCTTGCGGAAAATGCAAGATGGCTCACTAGAATATAACATCATGCGCCTGCTATTTCATTACAGGAGGACCCCGCAAAAAGAAGGAAAGTCACCCTCGGAGATGCTTCTCGGTTACCAGCTGCGGTCCCGTCTTGACACCTGCCTGCCGCCCACGGATGAGAACTGGTCGCCGGGTGCTGACGATTGGACCATCTCGCCAGGAAGCAGCGTTTACGTGTGCAACTACGGTGCCGGTAAAAGATGGACGCCTGGACGCGTAAAAGCTGCGTCGGGGGCGAGAATGATAGCAGTGGACACACCAAGAGGGTTAGTGCAGCGTCATATCGACCAAGCCCGCCGCCGCCGCGAATCGACGCCGGAGTCTGCAACTGCGGGGACGACTGAAGGCGCGGACGCTGAAGCTGAACCTGCCAGCGTGACTTCTCCTGTGCCGTCTCCTGCGTTGCAACGCACGTCCAAGCGGAATGAGCAAAAGCGAAGTCCAGAGCGACCGGCCGCGCATGGTCGGAGTGAGTTTTCCCCACCAGCTGCTACGGAACCTCCAGTCGCTACGGACGAACCCTCGCCTGAGGTGGTCCCGCACCAGCCAACACCAAGGCGATCGACTATAGTTAGGAACCCGGTACAAGGGTTTCACTTTTAAGAGGAAAGAAATGTTGTATTTGTTTCGTTTGTAACGCCAGCAAAACCAGCTGCGCGCGCACCATTTCGTTTGGGCCCTGTGCGCCTTCATTCTCCTTTTCCCCCCTCCCTTCACCCTCTCCTAATGCCAATGTATATAACCACGCTGCGGACAATAAACGCTGTTAGTTGACTGCCCGACCATCGTCCTTGCTGCTTAGCTGCGCGCGCCTGAGTTACGACACCATCATTGACTAGGGAGCGGTGTCCACCTAGTCACCTTATGAGGAGAAGGGCGCAAATTGTTTTTTATTTTTTTCGACTTGGTAGGTCTCTCCGCCGAAGCTTGGTAGGTGGGTGATGTGATGAACTTTCGCCCAACCTCAACGAGAAACTTGCGCACACCTATGTGCTTCACTTTCATTGCTGTCTTGCCCTATGTTCCACCATATTTGCCCTGCTTTTCAGAGCGAAAGCTGTTAGGAGACCGGAACTGGGGTCACGTGGAGTTCTCCGGCGCCGCGGCCGATGTTCGTAACCACATTACGCGAAACAAAAAAGACCTAGCATCAATGACACAGTGGGGCTCGAACCAGGGTCCGCTGGTTGTGCCCAGTATTCTACCACTGAGCTATGATGGTGCTTGTGACTGGTTGGCCAACTTGCTTATAGGCAGGCTTGATGTCGGGAAAGAAATCGCTTTCATACGACTTATAAAGCGGTGTAAAACAGTGAAAGAACAACCAGTCGTCGCACAATACGAATAGCATAACGAGTGGGCCGTCCAATGCTCACACCCATCATAAATGGTTGTTTTTGTCCCCTCCCCCTCTTAATAATGACGCATACCCACTTCAGCCATAATTCCTCATTGTCGTCAGCCACTGCTTGAACAATTGGCAGAAAATTCCTTGCAAGTGTTTAACAGATACCACGCTTCTCAGAAGATTGATGAAAAATAGCATAATGAATGCAGGCCTACCACCAAACAATTGGTAATAATGCCCTAGTGGGTATCAAGCAAGTGTTCTTGCAGTAGTTACCCAATGGGTGTTTTCAAAGGCTCCGAAAGACTGCTCTTCGAGCTTCCGCTGTGACTGCGCTGCGTCTTCCGCACAGGCCTGGCGTTTTTTTCTTCACTGAACATCACGCACACTGCTGCCAATTTTTGCTTCACTTGTAGTTCTGCTCGGTAAGATAGGTGATACATATTGGAATTGGAGCATACTGTTAGTGATTTTAGTAACGAAAAAAATGATACCTTGTCGGTGAAGGTAAATTGTCTTTCTGCATTATTTGTAGCCTCTAAGTAATGTAAAATGCAGAGCTTAGCGAAAAAGACAAGCACTGACAATAATTGCTGCTAATCTGCTTATCTGTGTTGGTCTTTGCAGATGCAACGTCGAACCTTCTTCCGTAGGTGTCCGCGTTAAATTTTGATAAACTCAGTTGCTCGTGGGCTGCGTTTCATCTTGGCAAGAAAACCTGAAATAATCAATAATTCTCAAACACAAGGCCGAGAAAACCTTTCGCCAGTGGCAGAGTCCACACTTGATAGTTTTAGTGCCATGTTTTTTTTGTAGATTTGTGTAATATTATGTTGCTCAGCGGCACAGAAATTGCTACTAGAATGAAGCTTTTTTTCACCTAGTCATCGAGAATGGCGTTCTACTTTTTTTTTCTTTTCAAAGAGCCTAACTGTCTTCAAGTGAAGCTGGAAAACGTACTTTTGGATAATGGTCATACAGCTGAACTGCTTCACAACTTTTTGCCACGTTTGTTTTTGTCCCCTATATTCCTCAAAGGTGTATTGAGCTAAAGCATATTAAGCCCTCGATCATCAGTGTTGAGTAAATGTTCATTTGGCTTTAATAGGTTGGACCTTTAGTTTGCCCTTGAATTAGCTCCAAAAATAGGTCTAAAACGATTCAAATCTACAGTATAATAATATTATACTATAACAAACATCATCCTTGCGCTTCAGTCATACCGTCTTTCGTCGCGTCGGCGTAGTGGCGATGGCTAGACACAATGAACGAGTGGTTCTTTCTGGGAAAAAGTGTACAATTCTTGATGGTTGGTAGCGTTTACTTGTTCTTGGCTAGCGAACGTTTGGTTGATGATGCGATTATTCTCGCAAGAGGCATGCATTTAGGCTTCCAAGAGTGCTGCACCTGTTGTTGTTCTTTACCTGTGTTGTGCCATGCATGGAGGAAAAAAAAGATATGGAAGCGCGCGAAGCGTCTACAGGCCAACCTCTTTTAGGCAGCTTGCTCATACGTTCATGAGCATTTCCGATAATACTCCTGTTTCACTTCTTCTGTTGGTGGGCTAATTAACATAAATAAAAATTGACGCAGGCAAAAATATGCAAGCCTACCTCCACAGATGCAACCCCTCTTCTCGTTGTTCATACACGTAGCACATTCCCCAGTAAGCCATGCCGTCTCAGATCGCTTCTATTTAAGGAAATGATTTGTATTATTTACTTACATTCGCATATGTCCTTTTTTTCAAACATATCATGCTTAGGTGAAAGAAGGACATGAAACTGTAGTGCTAAAGTGGAAAAGGAACACCGAGAGCACTAGAAAAGAAAGTGGGGCTGTTTCGGGATTCAAGCTTGGTATGTAAAAACAATGCAATAAAGGAAAAGGACTAAGAAAGAGACGACAAGGTTTGCGAGTTGAGCATCTGTGTCGGCTGTTACTCTGCATATTCGAGTTTAGCCCTACAACGCTATGCTTCAGTAAGTGTGAACTCATCAAAGAAAAATTTGTCGTGCACCGAGAACACGTAATCAAAGCAACTACAGGACACAAATGAAGCAGATTCGATGACATCATCTTGGTTGCTTTGAGGACCATTGTTGAATCAACGCTGTTTTATTGAATAAGACTCTGTTTGATACCAATGAGAATTCGACTTATATTTTTTCTTTAGAAACTGCCCTTTTGAGTTCATATTACGACCTCGCAGTGCTCCAGTTTGACTGCAACTGTTTTAGAAGTAAAATATACTTACTCGCACTATACTTACTGGGTAAACTTATTCCAGTGTAGTTTTCCGCTTTGACTCTTTTTTTTTAGTTCCGTCGTGAGGCGTCACACCAACGACCTCTCATTTCACAGTGCGTGGCACAAAACTACTATGCCATGCAGCGTACGCTTTCCAGTTGCTGATCTCTCCGTCTTAGAATCTGTATACCATGAAGCACAAACGTTACTTCACAAGGCCGGTCAAGCATTTAACGTGCAGTGTGTCGTCACAAGGTCGAAGAAGTGTGTGCTGCTGCAACAATTTGTAATGTCATGAGAAAAATTGGAATAGCAAGCTTACATAGGATGAGTGGGAACACATAGCGTAATTCTGACTTCGTGTGTGAGCAGCACCTTGTTTTCGTAAACGTGGCCGTAGCAGTAAGCGAAACGGACCATCGTTCTTCCTTTAACCACTACGAAGACAGCTTTTGATGAAAGCGCAAGAGCTACAAAGCGCCCGATAATAATCGCGCGCGAGCTGCCACGCCCTCACGAGGCGCGCGAGCGTCGCGTGGGCGGCGACATTTAGAGCACGCTTAACGCTCGGCTTGCGCACAATCTTGCTGCTGATGACGTGAACACGTGAAAGTGGCGAGAGGTCGTAGGACTGACGTCCGGTGATGGAACTCTCATTTTTTCATTCTGTTTTTGTAAATTTTACAACGTCCCATCTGTGACAGAAATACGTCGGCGAACGCGTGGTGGGCTCCTGCACAAAGCAATTTTGTGCACGTTAAATACTTGACCGGCCATGTCAAGTCACGTTTGTGCTTTATGGTATACAAATTCTTTGAAGAAGAGATCAGCAACTGGAAAGCGTACGCTGCATGGCATAGTGATTTTGCGCTAATCCAAGCGCAAACTAAAGGTCCAACCTATTGAAGCCAAATGAACTTTTACTCAACACTCATGATCGAGGGCTTAATATATTTTAGCTGCAATACACACTTCAGGAATATAGGGGACAAAAACAAAAGTGGCAAAAAATTGTGAAGCAGTTCAGCTGTATGACCATTATCAAAAAGTACGTTTTTCAGCTTCAATTGAAGACAATTAGGCTCTTTGAAAAGAAAAAGTACATCGCTATTCTCGATGGCTAGGTGAAAAAAAAGCTTCATTCTAGTAGCATTTTCTGTGCCGCTAAGGAACATAATATTACACAAATCTACGAAAAAAAACATGGGACTAAAACCATAAATTGTGGGCTCTGCTACTGGCGAAAGATTTTCTCGGCCTTATGTTTGAGGTGTTTATATATATATATATATATATATATATATATATATATATATATATATATATATATATATATATATATATATATATATATATATAATTCTTTCAGGTTTTCTTGCCAAGATGAAACATGGAGCAAAATCTCCATACTCCACAATCGGCGTCCAGATTTGAACAGTTCTAGAGATCGGTACGGGTATGTTTCTCGATATCTCGCATCAGACTCCTTTGAGAATTGGTACATGCATTACATATGAGTAGTGCCATTTTCAAGTCGCAATGTTAGCTGACATTTCCTTGCAACTCGATCCGAACCCCCAACCAACTACACCATGCTGGTCCTTCGGAGGGTAAATGTTTGCGACTGCCACCCACTGACCTGCGGAGAAAATCCGCTCCTGTTCTAGCAGCTCTTGGGGGTTAAGCTTAGTCACATCAAAGTAACAGGTTTTTATTCGAAAGTAACAGTTTTCCTGGGTGAAGCTCACTAGCATCAAAAATGAACGATTGAACACGTGTTGGAAACATAATCAGGTGAAAGCAACCTATATGAACCTATATGCAACCTATATGAACGTGTCGGCAGTTTATTGCATTATTCCGCACGCACAAAATGCCACAAGTACACAACCTGTCACTCTTGATGCCTATACGCACATACAGTAGGTGAGGCGTACCGACTCACCTACTGCTCTTTTGATAAGAGCGGATCTGCCCACCCTGGCGAGCCGCGTCAAGCTTCATA